TTTTTCATATCCCAAATTATTAGGATGATTTGAGAAAGCTCAGTGCAAAGATTATTGGAAAATTCTAGAAGATTCTGTTAGATTTCATACTGACACAGTGGGGCATCTTTTGTCGTCGGGATGTGATAGTGGTGACCCAGATCCCTATAAATTATAACAATCCTATGCTTTCCTTACTAAAAGTTGCTGTCGGGCGCCAATAAGCTAATTTTACCAAGTTTTGAGACGTAAAGTTTGATACATTTTTGTCTGTGGATTCGACTTTTAGGATCTCGAAAATTTTTTCTTTTTAGATTCGAGAGCTTTCAGCATTCAAAGGATCCATCCTTACCAGTTTGGATTGCTTGAAGAAATGAATCTGCGAAAATACATTATAATGACAGATTGTACTCGAACGCAGATCCTCCATCTGTTTTGGGATCAGAAGTGCAAATTTAGCTGACATGTAAGCACAAGATTATCAAACGACAGTTTTAAGGTTCAGCCTTAACGTTTCAAAAGGCGAATTGCTAATAGTGTCATTAATAAATCTTCATTCGCTTCAAACTTCCTTAGCTAGTTGTTATCACCTGTTTCATTTTTCTACTTGTCTATTTAAGGCAAAATACGCATCATCAATCATCATCTGCTTAAGAATTGGGATCATCGAGTCATCTGCTTAAGAATAGGGATGCCTTCGAGAAGGGCTTTCTGAGAGAAATTTGCTCAACATATGGGGAAAATCCATTACAATATGCATGTTGTGATTCTATTTGCTTGGATTCGAAGCTTCAACTAGGACCACTTGCATTACAGCAAAATATTTGAGGGTTTTCTGGTTAAGGGGAGGAATGCTTTCATGAAAGATTCTTTAAGGGAAGCTGGCTCTTAATTAAATTCCCGATGGGTAATGGAGAAATACTTTATTTCAAGAGCAAGAGCAAGTACACTAAAAACAAGCAAATTTTAAAATGTGATTCCACAGTGTTTAAATACATACTTGAGTGAGCTCCTTTTCTTCGAAGAAATATAAACTGATTATGGAATTATTCAGAAAATCTAATAATACAAAAAGAAATGAAACAAAAAGTGAGATACTAATTTTCCATTAATCCTCCTACTGGAGAGGGAAAGATACGACAAGTTTTAGATCTTCTGAAGTCACAAATAATTTTAAATTGAAAGCCAACATAAAGCCTAAAGTTTAAAACTCGGGCTGGTTTCAACCACAGGTTATTGTGCATAATGAATACTGTGCATTACAAAAAAATTATATACATTTATTTTCCTATTTTATTACAGGCCTATGAAAAGTGGGCATCAGAGAGCAAAAGCCAGAAGCAAAGCCGTTGTCAGTATCTAACTTCACACCATATCAGTTATTCTGGATAAGCGCAGCGCAGGTAAGCCTATTTTAAGTTAGCTATTATAGTTTATTGTATGTTATAAGAGTGTAAATTTAGCCGGAAGTATATCAAAATACACTTATATATCCGTGAAACGAAAATTTAGTCTTAAATCAGGAAACATAAAGTTTCATAAAATTAGCTACAATACTGAAGATGAAATAAAATTTAAAGCCCTTAAAAATGTGTGTAGAAACTATTTCATCTCCTCTATTAAGTTTCGATAAAAGCGTAGACTATAATCCAGAAGTACTTAATATTGTAATTCATGATAAAATGTTCCTAAGCATATATGATTCTTTTAGACGTCTCCAAGAAAATTGTAGAAAAGTAAATTATGAAAACGAAGGGCAAAGTCGGAAAGTTTAAATAGTTATCTTGACAATTTAATAACGGTCAAAACCTTCACTCATTTTAGTTGATAGATTTGCTCTAACTACTATCTCAAATCTCGACTACTATCTCAAATATACAACGAGTTTCGGTATAAGTGGAAGAACAATCCGTGGTAAAATTTGGAAATTATAAGAAATAAAACTTCAAAAACTGGAAGACACTGCTCTAAAGATTTAGGTGCACCACTTCCTTCCGGTGCTACGTTTTAGCTAAATCATATCTTTTTTGTTTTTATTGGGCGGCTGAAAATATACGAGTAATGTTGAGGCTCTGACGTACAAATAGAGCGCATGTATGAATTCACATCTGTCATGCTGGACACCTTCCCGGGTGGACAAAAACTGATGCATATGCACAAGATTAGATATTACAAAATTTAACATTTTAAAATGACATAACAAGATTAAATATTACAAAATTTTACAAAATTTAACATTTAGGCATAATATGAGACGTAGAACTGAAATATAGAAAAATCACTGGTATGTCATTTCAGAAAAAATCTGATTTGGGGTCAAAATATCGATGTTAGAACAATGTTATATGTAAATCTCATACACATCCTAAGTCGTGTACAGACATGAAAAACGCATGTTAATTTCATCAATTGGCCCAGTAGAATGAGCGATATAGAACTGTCCTATATTTTTGTGCAGAATATATGTATGCTGCACAAAATATACATATTATAAGGTATTTCTCCCACCTTCTTAGTGTACCTTCGTGGTGTGGTGGTCTGCACACAGACTGTTGATCACATCTTGTACAAATGCACACCATTTTGAAGGTATACCCTTCAAAAGAGTGATGCCGATTTTTCAAATCTTGGATGGTCCGAGAAGATATTTGATATTTTGCAATTCACTGGCTAAGTTAGATCGCGTTTTTCGAATACGACCAAGCACCCTAGGCCATATAGCTAAGGTGCTAGGTCGGGTAAGGGTATAAGGTATTTCTATCACATTCTTGGAGTGCCTTCGTGGTGTGGTCGTTTGCACACTGGGCCGATATTCCAGAGTTTCACGAGGCGATTCCCGGCGAAGGCTTTGTTAATTTTCCATCTTTCCTGCTTCCAAAAAATACCTAATGTCTCCACAATATATATATATATATGTATAGTACAAGATGAATTAATTCATAATTTTTGGCTAAAGCATAACCACAATTCTGTTAAGCCTAAAAAAGAACACTAAAAGAATACACCAAAATAAATTTAATAATAATCATCGAAAAAGTCGCTAGTGACTCTGACTGTCCTACCGAAGGGCCCGGGTATGAATCCCGAAGAACGCATGGATGTAAATTATCTGTCCCTTCATAGAAGGTAACAGTAGCCGCCCATTAGGTGCCTCCATAATAAAATGACCACCGCTCCTGGCCTTAGAACTGGTGAAAGCTTAAAATAATCATTGCCTCTCATTTAAAATAAAAATTAATAATAATAATTATAATAATAAGACCAAATTTTCCATTTCTTATAATATCTCTTCAACACAACAGTTTTTGAAACCACAAGTTGATTACACTATGTGTTAGAACCTCAAAAGAAGTTAACAGGACAGCCACATTTCTGAGCTGTGATATGAATAATTTAACAATAGGGGAAAATTTTAATTAAAAATATAATGTTATAAAATCTATTTATAATTTTTTTCGGAGCAGGAAATGAAAAAACTTAGCAATATCCTTATTGGGAATCCAACTCTGTGCCTCCCGAATTGTAGCCAGATGTGCTTCCATTTACATTACGAAGCACGCAATGAGGAACGACAAAATTCCTTACATTGTTGCCCACTTAAAGGGCTGCTGGGAAAGAGGGAAACATGGTTGTCACACGTAGGGTGGTGACGAATATCCTTCCACCATATTTTACCACTTGTAGAGGTGCCACTTGTACAGTGATTTTGATTTCCTTTTAGAAACATGAACACTGCGATGTCCAGGCAGAGACCCGAATTAAGGACTTTGTTCGCTTTTGGCCAAGGCATCCGCCTTATTGCTTCCAGTTACATCACGAAAGCACGCAGTGAGGAAGGAGAAAATTCTTTATAAGCTTTATTTTAATATTGCTATAAAACCTACCGTGACATTTAGCGTATTAGTTAGCGTTTCTCCAAACTTTTAGCATTTAAGGTTTCTTTTATTTATGTTTGTTACTTTCATTTGATTTATTTTTTAGTTTTAATATTAAATATATGTTAACGATTAAAAAGCTGATTGGGGAAGAATTAGATACAATCGAAGACATTTTAACCTATTGAACTCTGCTTAAAACAATGCTTGTCAGAGACGTAAACTTTTAATGCGCTGCAAGTTGCCCATTTTTGCTCATATTTGTGTCCTTTTGCAATTAATTTGGATGAAAAAATGTCGACATATTAGCAGAAGAACAGGGGGGATAAAAACGTGAAGTTTTCAGTTCAAAGGTTTGAGAATGCATCACTTTCGCTTTTTGAAATAACGCAGCTTAAAGAGATTTATTGTAATACTAATTTAGATATATCTATTATTCTAAGCACTTTAATGATGAGTTCATATTTGCATTTTAAGGAATCTGTAAAACAAAGTTAGGTGTGTTATCTTTTGCTCTTGTCTTTGGTATAATTTTATTAGCAATATATTTAGTCGCTCAATCTATTTGAATCACTTTGAATGTAATGTTTTTAAAAATGCAACATTTTCAATAAATTTATGCTAAATTTCTTTAAGGTTTGGTGTGAGAAGTTAGATCCATATTATTTGATTCGTACTATTCGAACAGGATCACGCATCCCACATAAATTTAGGTAAGCACCATACGAATTTTTTTCTAATTTGGAATTGAAGTTTCCGTAATGATACTCGCGTGTTATTTCAGTTTGAAGTAATTACTTTTTATATTAAGCATATTTTCATTTTTAGAATTATGCAATATACTTAATGTACATTTTAAATTGATTAATTAGTAAAACGTTTGGCTACAAATTTAAAAACTTAAAATCGCATTATGAACGATGGAATTTAAAATATTATTTCTTCTGTTTTAGAGTGGAAGGTCCTATGTCTAATCTGCCAGAATTTGCCGAAGATTTTGAATGCTCAAGCGGTAAAGACATGAATCCAATAAGGACATGTAAAATTTGGTAAAAACTAACAACAAAAATGTAAATTTAAGATAAGGTTTTGTTGGTATATTAGTATTCTTGCATTTAGTAACATTGCATTAAGATTGCGTGCAGTAGCATAAACTGGTGATGACTTATTGCAAATATTATATAAAATATTTCTAAACAGAGCTACAGCCATGAGCAAATTCATTTGTTAAAATAAAATATATTTTTGCATCCTTCCACCCTGTATTCTCCTTTTTATTTTGTTTATTGTACATTTTCTTTAAATATCAGCTTTTCACGACAAGAAAGACGTTAGTTCCCCCCCCCTCCCGAGGAGCACAACAGAAAATATAAAACACCAGCAATCTCTTTGCCTGGATTCGAGTTCTGGACCTGATGAATGCTAGCTGCATATGCTTCTATAGTCGTGTCCATAAATTAAAGATAATTCAGAATCACACGGAAATCGAACTCTAAAGTAAAATTAATTTTCACATGTGGAATTATCGCACACACCTTCGAGAATAATATGGAATTACAGGAAGTCATTAGATGACGCCGATAGTACGTCATAATGACCAGAGTGTAAGAGAAGTGCATGTAAAGAACGGTAGCAAGAAAGACAAAAGAGTTCTGTAAGCCGCTTAGTGCTACAACCGAATAGTTATGACACAGAATATGCATGTGGATGATTTTTTACTTGGTAGAATTATCGGCCGCCTGGAATGTGGGCATACACAGATGGGAGTATCCGTAGAACTTGGTCTCGTAAAACTTGTTATCTCTGGAATTTGTCAACGATTACAAAATGTTGGAAATGTCAGTAGGCGTTACAGTACAGGTCGCCCCTTGTTACAACATCGAATGATGATCGATATTTGGCAATAGCTGCCAAAAGAAGCAGACAGAGCACAACATCAAATCTGTCTTGTCAGCTATCTTCAGCCACGGTACGACAGTTTCAAGGAGAACCGTGTACAGACGTTTTTTGATTGACTTATATGCTCGCAGGCCTGTCAGGTGTGTTCCGCTCACGGCAACTCACTGTCACCAGCGGTTAGCCATGGGTATAAAATATGCAATATGGAAATCGTCACAGCGGGCTTGTGTGATGTTTTCCGACAAGTCCAGATTTAGCTTGCAGTCTGATTCCTGTCAGACTTTCATATGAATAACTCCAGGTACACGTTATCACAAAGACAACATCACTGAACGACACCTTTACGGTGGTACAGGATTGCTCTTTTGGAGTGGAATTATACTGAGCTCCAGAACAGGTCTGCATGTTCAGATCGGAATTATGACAGAAAATTTATCAGTACATCAATTCTGGAACATGTACGTTTGTTTAGGTGTGCCATGGGCGCAGAATTTGTGTTTATGGATGACAACGACCGTCCGCTCCGTTCAAACAATGTAAAAGAAAAACTTCAATCGGAGGATATCACCCATATGGAATGGCCAGCATTCTCACCTGACTTGAATCCGATAGAGCATATGTGGGACATGCTTGGCCGATGAATTGCAGCTCGTCAAGCACTTCCTACATGTATACCGGGACTTCGGAGATAATTGCTTGCTGAGTGGAGTAATCTATGCCAAGATCAGATCGATATGTTGATACTCAGCATGCCTAGACTTTGTAACGCCTGTATTTCATCATCTGGGAGACACAATGTATTAACCATCATATCAACCATGGAATGTTAAGTTTTTGCAAGGAAAATATTTTTTGTAATTGCTCTGTCAGCAAAAATAGTAGTTTTTAAGAATGGTATCGTACATACTACATTTTTTCGTTATTCGTCTTTAGTTCAATAAATGGGCTTTAGGAATAAGTCACGTTTGTTTTGTTTCTGAACCTTTATTTGCCGAAGCTGGCATTATCCTTAATTTATGGACATGAGTGAAATTACACAACGAAAGCACGTGGGAAAGAAGAATAAAATTCTTTACATTCTCCGCCACTTAAAGGTTATTGGGATAGAGGGAGTAAAATCGTGGAATCCAAAAGATGATGATTTATCATCCGATATATTTTGATTCAGTCCGCTACGTTTGATTATATACAGATTATATTTTGATTGATGTCTATTCTTTTCTTGAGTTATTTAGAATTTTTTTAAACCTGAAAATACGAGGATTCAGCAATGCCCTCGCCAGGATTCAAACTCCAAACTTCTCTACTATTAACTAGAAGGAGTTCCAATTACATCTTAGAGGCATACGGTAAGGAAGGGGAAAATTCTAATATCAATATGACTCCATCCTAGATGATGAATAATGCTAGAAATAAGTTTTCATCAAAAGAATATTGCTCATCAAAAGAAATATATGAATATTTATTGATTAGTGCTCTTAATGGAATTAATTTTACAGAATTTAATTTTAATTTAATTCTGTCTGCAAAGAGAAATTAACATAAAATGAGTCCCCTTTTGCTTTCATTTTCCCAAAATTTAACTTTCTTGCTGTAAACCAATAAATCTGAAGTTTTAGTAAGATACTGAGTTAAACTATCTGCTCTCTTTCTCCTAAAAAAGCAAATTCTGTCAATAGTTCGATTCTAAAATGTAGATCAAGCATTTCAGCTAGTAAATGTATTCTTCCATACCTAGTTTGCTAGAAGAATCTGTCGACAGGCAAGCAAAACTGTCCCATCTGCCAATATTCAATTGAATTTTAATTTTGTCCACCACAAAAGATGTAATTACGTTAGAACTAAAAATACGAATGTTTTGATAGCTTTAATTCTTGTATACGATGGATTAGAGAAAAATTATTTTGAATAAAAATAATTATGATACTGTGATGATTCTCGCAATTATATAAAATCATTTTGCTTTCAGCAAATGATGAATTACCATTTGTTTAACTAATGGTTAAACAATGAAAACATTTTTAAATGATTATAATATGTGTATATCAGTGATTACTGGTGCTCGTTTTCGGGTATTCTGTTATGCTAAAAAATATCATGTTGAAATAAAATGTCTAGTACTTAAAATCATTCCTATTCAATCAAAATAAAGAATAAAAAGTTCTGAAATAAATGGATGACTAGAAATTGACGTTTCGTTTCATTTTAAAGATCGATTGTTTGAAGATTATTTTTTCCAGCTTTAACTGAATAGCTGCTTTGATTAAGGACTTCCATCCTCAACCAGCTATAGCTAGAAAATGTAGACAATTTGCAGAAAGATTCAGTTGGTTTTGTCAGAACTTGATCATGGCAGAGCACTCGAGTTTATTTGCTTAGCAAAAATATTGAGAGAAATATATACTACTCACAGCATATTGGGCATACGGCAAACAGTAGTGACTACATATTAACTGCGTTATCTGTTTTGGCATATTAGCATAAACACAAGGCGATAATGCAATACCTATGCGTGTGTACAATAAGTTATGATACTCATCTACAAAAAGTATCCTAACCTATTGTAGACATACTATATAAAATACTAATATAAGTTTATGAAAGAGCAGATAGCAGCAGCTGTGTTATGCATTAGCTGAAATATCATAAAAAAGAGTAGACTATTTCAGGTGAATTATGAGGACATCAGAGGCTCACAATAAAGATAGAGTCGTTTGGTTATTTTGAAGCAGGAGATGTGAAAAAGGAGCAATGCTCTCGCCGGATTCGAACCTGGACCTCTCGAATACGTGCCTAGGGCACCAAGTTACACCAAGATGGCATGCTGGAAGAAGAGAGAAAAACCCCTTTTAACCCTTTGACTACGAATTTAAAAAAAATTACCCCGCTTTCTATTCAACAAATGTCATGAATAAGGCAAATTTAGTATTTGGGATTTTTTTGACAAATGGTTTTCAAGCCAAAGGCTGGAACACATATTTCCCAGCCGTAATTAATGGTGGTATATATATGTCCACACGTAGCGATCGACCACACGAAAACTTTATTATCGAAAACAGGTTTACATTGTATGGTGCAGGATAGAAAGCATTCTTTGCATAACCCAACATTACACATTGAACAACTCATATTCGTTCTTTTTTCTGTGCTCATTTGTGTACAACGAGCATAGTGGCGTCTTGATTTTCTAACTATTAGAAGATGATCCCCAACATTCAGGAGGTTCTAAGTACTTTTTAAACCATCAGTAGCTTTTAAATTTTTAGTGGGACATATATGTCCCGTTAGCATATTTCACAAGTGCACATCTGTGTAGCCACCGAGGGAGTGGCTTCTAGGATGGACCAATGGGCATCCAGTAATATTTCTGTCGTGTCACATGACCTTTCGCGCGTTTAAAGATTTAAGGAAGATGACTGAAAATATTTTGCCACGCAATTTTCTGTACAAAATAATTAAAGCCCCGTCGATTTCTTTTCAAAATTTTCATTGCGAAGTTAGATCAAATATAAGCAGTTGTGAAGATGTCACTACCTGTTGAAATAATTTGAAATAAATACAAGCACATGTCGGATACTCTGCAAAAATATCCATGTGAAATATACCATAAGTGGTAATAGATGAAGAAAGAAATATGTGATAAACATCTGAGCCCATGCTATCTTTTACATAAACTATGCTTATGAGAAAATATTTCCCAATTATATATTAAATAGAAGTCAGCACTTTTTATAGCAGTCTATATTAAAAAGATGTTCTATAATAATAGCCAACGCATAATTTTATTCAAAGTGAACTTTACTCATTAGCATTCGTATACATTTAGAGTGTTAAATTTCACATTTGATAACTACTACTCTTAAATGTACTGTCTACACAAAAAATACTCACCAAACAGAATGAATTTATCTTATTCACAACCGAATATATTCAATTTATATCATATTATAACTTTTAATGTTAACAATGGATATAATCAGATCATACACAATATGTATTTGAATCTTACACTTTCAAAGCAAAAGAATGCAAGCACTTGAGCTAATAAGAAAACATACTAGATTCATTGTAACACTTCTAATTATCCTTAGCTCAATAAAAAAGACTATGTATACACTTTGAATTCTCTCTTAATCCACAGGTGTTAGTAAACGCATAATATTCGTGCCTAATTGTGCCTTGTTTCATTTTCTCGTTATAAAGAGCGATAATATGCCACGAACATTAATCTGAATATCAGTGCATGATAAGTTTCCGAAAGTGAAATGTTGACGATTAAACAAATGTATAAAATGAAAGCACTACGAGATTTTCTACTCAAATGGTAGCAGCATTTATACGCCATAAATATACAACTGC